ATTCTGGTGCTTGTATCCCATATTTCTGTTGTGTAGGATAGTTGTAGCCTGGGTCCCCTTGCTGAGCCTTCGGGTCCCCTCTATGCTGTTGCTGACACTCTTCACTAAAAGGGTGTAATGTCAAGCTTGGCTTGACACCTGGTCCACACTATATATACTGATAAATGTTTGTGTCCTAACACATAACTCATAGAGTTCCATTGTCAGAAGATCTTTAATGTGTTGTCATTCATATGAGTACAGTATGTGGACTTGACATAAATAGGATTGTTTATCTGACTAGTATGCCTTAACATTCAGTCTACCACATCTTGAGCACATAGAGGCTAGAAGGTGAAGTTAAAACAACACTACTTTCTAAACCTGGACATCTAAGAGTGTTGGACTTTACTGACACACAGGTATGTCTGCTAACAAGGAAGTCTACTAATGTTACTGACAATCACAAGTTTCTTCTAAAAACTGTAACACACTATAATAATATGTACCTTAATGAGCTTAGAGTAGTACTTAAGGATTAATATAGAGTGAAAGTGTCTGAAGCTACAATCTGGAGAACCCTGAATCAAGCTGGCTTTCAAATGAAGGAGGTGATTTGTATTCTTCCTTTGACTTACTGTATGTGATTATAATCATCATTGTATAGCTTACTAAACATGCCCTAGAATAGAATGAATTGCTTTAAGTAGAGTATTGTCTTTGTATTAGGGCCAATTATTTGCCAGAGCAGTTAATCTTTGTTGATGAAAGTGCCTATGATCAGAGAACATATTTGTGTAGGAGGGGATGAGCATTAGAGGGGTCTTGTACATACTAGAAACAGGTTTTTATGAGGGGAAAACAGTACACACTTTACTATCACATTATTACTATTTGTCATTTTGATGCCTTCAGTCAGGTACTCTATCCTCCCAGCCATTTCTTTGAGTAGGATTATAGAATGTATAATAGTTGAGGGATCATTCAATACAGAGCTCTTTACAGTATTCATTAAGGATCTCCTAGTCAAAATACAGCCATTTCTAGCACCTAGGTCTGTAATCATTATAGATAATTGTGTAATCCATAAAGCTCCTGGAATTTGTGAACTCATTAAGGCAAGGTAAGTATTATATTAGATAGCATTCTTAATAGTAAGTTTACCTACTATTGTGTAGAGGAATAAAACTTAAATACTTGCTACCTTATTCTCCTAATTTTAATCCAATAGAACTTGCTTTCTCTCTACTCAAACACAATCTACATTGTTGCCTACAACCAGATAGAGATGAATTTGCAGTTTATGAATACTTATATCTTCAAACTTTTAGTATTAGTACTGTAAATTGCTAAGCTTTCTATTATTAGTCAGTGTTAACATTTATTTTGGATAAATGCATCATATGTCTCAAATTACACAAATGTCTTACAAATATACACTATTGCTGAGACATGTCTTCTGAGACATACATCCAAGACATACAATATTAGATAGTATATAATACATTAATCTAAGGACAATGAAGCTCATTACAAACCACACAGTTGACTTGTATTGACACCTACACACTATGAGCAGAGTCTACTGAACCCCTACTAGTGTGACTAACTCTTAGTATCCTTGTGAGCAGTGTGCAAACCTACAGAAGAATATTTCCTATTGTTTAGGAAACATTGCAACCTCAACACACTAACAGGTTATAAGCCTTGCACTCCCTGCTCATATCTACATCATTACTACACTTTTATTTTACCCTCTACAAACACAATGCTTTGAAATCATTGTCTCCACAATTATGATTTCCCCCTCAGTAGTTATATGCATGACTATATGTACTATGATTGTCATCTCAAATGCTTCAGTGTACTATACACTATAGTACAAATGATTTGATACACTCAATTGTGTTATACTCAATAAGTAACATCAAACTACTTCATTTAACACTGAATCCACTTGATTCTACACATACAATCTATTCTACTTGTCTACAAACCTTTTGGCACTCCCATCTGAGCATACTAAATACAAATCGTCTTGTCCTGAAGACTACAATTGCTTTATATAACAAGATATGCTATGATACTTGTAACTAGAACATACTATCTACAAGGACCTAGACACACCTGTCTGAGCATCCCAAACATGCATTGATTTATTAAAATAACTTCAGACAGATTAGTTGCTTTAAATACAATGAATACCTAGCAATACTATATCCAAACACTGAACTACTTCATCTTACACTTTGGAGATACATTATAATAATAACATCTCACATAATGGACAAACATTTGATATTATATTAATAATACAAATGATTAATACTATAAACAAAAGAATAATGCTAGCAAAGTATAATAACAATATAAAGAAATACTATTGCAAACATACAATCAATCTAATAATGATTAGACAAACAAATAATATGAAAACAAGAGTATAAATGCTACTAAAGTATAATAACTCAAATATAAAAACGATTTATACTATCACAAACGTACAGTCACAATAAATAACATATATTTACTATATACAAATATATCACATAGATATACAAACGTATACAATGAAATAATAAAATATATTGCATAGATATACAAATATACAAACATACAAAGTAATAATAATACATTCAAACACATAAAACTATTATTTATTAAATAATGCAAAGTTATATGCAAATGCAATCAAACGAACAATAGTTACAAATACATTGTAACAATATAATGTATCAATAAGATATACATGATAACAAAGTATTAAGTCAATACAATTAATACAAACAGTTTAAACAATATAAACATATTTCAGACACATCAAAAAACTATCATTAACATACAAAATGTTATAAACAATTAAACGTTACTTAAAAACTTGACAAAATACAATAATACAGATGCAAAACAAAATAACTAATGCCTTGAAAACATTAGAGCCTAACATTAGATAGTCCAAAGGGCCAAGCAACAGAAAGAACACTACTACCAAGTACACAAAAGACAAACAAACGTTGGAACAAAATCCAAAAGAAACAAACATAAGTTCAGAACTTGATCAGATGCTTCACTAATGATTAAACACAATGTGTGACAGATTTAATCAATCACTACAAACAGTAGAAAGATATTTATTCACAAAGAATATATCTATGATCAATAAATAACGAATATCATTAACTATTCAAAGTTCAAACAATATCATAACAGTGTATTCTTTATTAACAGCCTTGCTTGAAGCTTGTGCCCATCACAAAAGAATAAAGATTAATAAATGAAACAGAAACAAAACACAATAGCTCAAATACTTTTGTCATCAAACGGAAGACAAATGATACTGAGTGAAATGAAATAATGCACTACTCAATGTATGCAAATATAACAAACAAAATACACAAACTTAACATTGCTAAACAATACAATAGATTATATTTATCCAAATAACAAACTATTTGGACGTACACATAATAATCAAACAAAATACACAAGCATACATACAATCTATTTGAGTATAAACTTGAATAACATTCAGTATAATGCTAAAAAGAATTAATAACTAAATTGGACAAAGATAACAAATAACATTAAAATTATTCAACAAAACACATTCACACATTCACATACAATGCTTAAACAAATAATAGAATGATGAAAATGTACAAACAAATCAATTATACACAAAAGCCAATTACTCAAAGTAAACCTTCTCAAATTGAAGGGGAGTAATAACAGCATATATTCACAAAACATAAAACATAACAATTGAACAATTGAAACATAGCAAACAATTAAATGATGTGGAAATATTGACTATGTCACTATTTAATGTTGCACATCCTACAAAACACAATTATAAAGTTATTACAATGAATTCAAAGCAAATCTGTTGAATCTGATGAGTGAATCCAATGAATCCAACAATAATATACTTATGCAAGAGACATTTTCTCTAAAATCTTTGATAGTCACACTATACATGGCACTATTGAATGTATTATGAATGAATATACTACAGATTATATACCTAAACACAGAGAAGTATGCTACATACAACAATGTTGAGCAGAAAAGCATCTCTAGTACATAACAAACTATATGGAATTATTGAACAGAACTATGTCTTCCACAACAGAACGTATGTTACATTGAAAATAACAATCATGCATCATGCAAAACTTCCAACACTTATTCTCTAACATGCAGAACATAATAGCAAACGAATAACTAAGTAAACAAAATAATATTCAGACGTATAACTGGGAAATAATCCAGGCAAGCCAAGAAATGGCACATATTCCCAAAGCAATCTACACTAGATGTACAAAGCACTCACTAAAATTAAAAGAAGCAACAGACGTAATGGCAATCAAAATGTTAATCCTTTTGAATAAAACAAGATAATGTCAATCATAATGAACAAAAAATGAGTGATACACTCAAAATAAACAAAATAAATTCATATTTCATAACAAACACACACATATATTCAGCAAATAAAGCAAATATAATAATTAAAACAATATCAAACAGAATTTGATACAAAATAAACAATAAACAAATGAATATTACAATATACAATGAAAAATAGAACTGTAAAACACACTATTTCATCTATCTACAAAATAAAAACAACAAACGCATATTATAATTGTACAAAGCAATATATTAATCAAATAAACATTATGTAATAATAATAAAAACATTATCACAACAATAAAACAATACAAACATACGAATAACATTATAGTTTGTAAAGTTAAAGGACACATTAAATGATAACAAATGCAATGTACACATATAACAATATCAAATATATTTATTGTAAAACAGCAAAACAATACAAACATACCATATGTTTAAAACATAAATAATGTGCCTAAACAGACTTACAAACAGTCAGATGATAAAATAAAACAAATTACAATGAATAAAACCTTAATCAACCTTAATATGAAGCAATCTGACATATCATAAATGATATTACAAATTACAAACAATACAATGCTTCAATATAAAGGTATAGAACTATTATTAAATGCTTAAAAGGCATGAATACAAAACGAACACAAACAAAGATGATACATGATGAATAGAGGACATCATAATAACATTGACAGCACATTTTACAGGCATGATTCAACAGTTTCATTGTGAAAGTAAAAGTGGAAAAACTACTAGTAACACAATTCAAATGTACAAAAATACAAATTAACAAGAACAAATTAATAACACACACATTGTTATTAAATATAGTATTAACTATACAAACGAAACAATACAAACGAATTACAATGATAATTACACTTTGAGTGTAAGAATACAAAACAAACTACACATATAATAATATGAATATGAATGGAACAAATAACAGAACAACTACAGAACAATACAGTATAATAAAATAAACATACTATGACACAAAACAAACAATATGACATGAAAAACAAACAAAACAAAGTTATATCATATCATATTATATTGCAGACAAGAAAAACTACTATCATACAAATGATAAAACATTATAGTGACGACTATAATAGTAATAATAATAAAACTACAAACGAACGAACGCTAAAGAGATCCTGCAGCTCTCTTAGCAATCATAATTGAATTAACAATTGATTTATTACATTGAATGTAATAATAATACATTGGACAAATGTAACACTTACAGTGGACTTAATATACAAAGCAAACAAAACATTTACATTGTGAATGTAAATGATATTAGTAAAAACAACAGACGAACGTTTATCAAACATTATATTAGTCTGATCAACTAGTATAAGTTTGAAGGGGAGTGTTAACATTTATTTTGGATAAATGTGTCATATGTCTCAAATCACACAAACGTCTTGCAAATATACACTATTGCTGAGACATGTCTTCTGAGACATACATCCAAGACATACAATATTAGATAGTATATAATACATTAATCTAAGGACAATGAAGCTCATCACAAACCACACAGTCAACTTGTATTAACACCTACACACTATGAGCAGAGTCCACTGAACCCCTACTAGTGTGACTAACTCTTAGTATCCTTGTGAGCAGTGTGCAAACCTACAGAAGAATATTTCCTATTGTTTAGGAAACATCACAACCTCAACACACTAACAGT